GTATTTCCAAGACCCTAAACCCTAAACTGCCCTAAACCCTAAAACCGTATAAACCTCCTCAAAAACCTCCTCAGACCCAACCTCATACGAAAATGCATTTTTGCCTTAGGTTGGGTATTAAGGAGGGTTCCACTAGCTAGAAAACCACGAAAACGGACCTTGGTGGACCTTCATACCCTTCCCTTCGGCAGGGCAATGCCCACTTGCCAGGCAGGAGGTGGCAGCCACGAGGCCCTTGCCACCACATCCACTCGGAGCTCACTCAAGCTCATGAAATCCTCGGCCTGTAGCCTAGCCCGACACTACCAGGCTTCTGATCTCTGCAGTGCACACAACACTCACGCGGATACTCTTTCCTCACACGCGGGCGTTACGGTCGCAGGTCTTGCAAACGAGGTTTCCCATCCTGGTGATGTCAGCTACCACCTGGTAATGTTCAGTGCGCGGACGGCCGCACAGCAACATGCGATCACGATACACCCTATGCAAAATTTGGGAGCGCCGGTGTACAACCCAGCCCCCGGTGGCCTCCACGGGTGCACTACCTTGGGCCACTCGAGCCCTCTTCTGATCACCTCCATCGGAACTCTCACTCGAGGAGCCACTGCTACTCGAACTCGTCGAGGCTGAACTTTGCCCCTCACCCCCAGAAGAGTCTCCAAGATCAGCATCGGCAGCTTCCGCAGGTTTTGGCTCCTCCAGGACGGGGCCAATCGGAATTGTGGGAAGCTCCTGAGCAAATTCTGCCGTGGCAGCCGGAGGTGGGAATGCCCACATCCGAGCTCGCGCGGCATCGGGGGCAAAGGATCCTTGCACGATGAATCTCATGAGTGTCTCAAGTTTTTCGAACATGCGGCAAGCCGAGCTCCACTGAGTACACTGCTTCAGTGCCCTCAGTAGCAAAAGCGTGCCTGCCCAAACAGCACCTGGTAAGCCGGTCGTGACCCGCTTTACTAGACCAGCTCAAACAAGTCCTCTTCAAGCTGTGGCTCGAAATCCGAGGGCCGTCAACTGCAGGCTCTGCTGAAAAACCCAAGGGAACTCGCAAGAACGTTGACACCTCCCCCGAAGTGATACTGCGATTGCAAAGAGCGAGCTCCTCAAACGATTTGGGAGGCCGGAACAACGGACAATGCACCGGCCCACTCAACTTCAGGCCCACTGCTTCAAAAGCGGCTCTGGCTGCGAAGGCCCACGGCCTTGAATGAACTCCAGCAACAGGAACAATGATTGGAAGGAGCTTCACCTTCTTAGCCGTAGCCCTCGAAGTCTTATGATTACGAGTATAAATGATGATGTAGCCCTCATGCCCGGCCTCAGCCTGCCCATCGGCCAAGGGGGTGACGTCCCACTCAACCTGGTCAATGCGCTTGAAGTCACTATGCCTGGCACGGCCATACAAGCAAAGCAACAAATAAGCACACAAGGCTTTGTCCCATCTTGATGTGTTCTCATCATGAAGAAGATCGTGGATCTTCCTGATTTGCTCCACCTTCAGAGGGGCTGCTTGCCTTATCAAGCCTGCACGACTCAAAAGCTTCTCGGCACAACCCACACAGCGGCGGCTGGGCTCCTCGATCAAACTCATTCCCATGACATGCTTGGCGAATCTCACACTCGAAAGAAAAGACGATGCCGAGGAGGCTGCAGCAGATGACTGGTCAAGGAAGGCCACGTACTTCCAAAACGATGCATCACAGAAGGGCGAGCTAGACTTACCGGAGACTACATCAAACCACCTAAGAAAAGCTAAGAACCCCGAAGCCCTCTTTGCCACCGTGTGCACAGACCTGGCACCAAAACAGGCTAAGATCTCCTCCTCGTCAGGAGGACTGCCCCCAAACTCAAGAGAGTACCTAGCCAATACCAAGGCCCACCTGGATGCGGCTTGCCTGAGGAGCCTGTCTGTTTTAATGTCGTCGTCTTCATCTTGGAGTGGCCTGATCGCATGGAGGGCCAGCGACCCTTGCACAAGCAGTGGTTCCTTTGCACTCGCCTTGGGTTTAGGCACCGGTGGTCCTGGTACCGGGGGCACACTGCTAAGCTTCTTGAATGCAGGAGGGGGCAATGATGCTAATACAGTAGGGTCATCATCCGAGAAGATAGCTTTCATAAGCGGTGTCTCCCAGGGCATCGCAAGCGAGCTAAGGTCAGCATCCAAGCGAACATGAGCCTGCTCAAAAGCACGACGGGCTACCCCTGACGGAACTGCAGCTGCTGAGGCCTTGATGCCCCCCAAAGGTTTCGAGGTTCGGACCTCGGGCTCCACACGAACCACAGTCGGATCATAAGCCTTGCTGGTCGCCACCTCAGTCATGACATCTCCTAAATTCAGGGATGCAGCAGCCCTCTCAGGGCCCACCATGCCTGAAGTAATGCTGAAGGCATCCCAAGGGTCATAAGAAGGGCTATGCACGGTCTGATCCTGCTGAGCATCAAGAGAGGCCTCACCTGGCTCAAAACCGGCCTCAGACTCCCAATCAGCAGGGAACTCTGTGACTGCTGCTCCAGCCCCCAAACCAGACTCTTTCCCCCCATTAACCGAAGAAGATGCAGCAGGCGAAGCAGGGCGAGGCGCAAGAGGTGGGTGCTGCACAGGGGTGTCTAGAGGGTACTGCTGGTCCTCAGAGCCTTGCGCCCGCAAGCCAACTCAAGCTGTTCCATGCTGAAGGCAGCCATGCTGACGACCGAACTTAGGCGAACAAGCGACGGCGCAAGCGATGCCTGAGCACAAAGACAGCGTCTGCAAGAAAAATGAAGATTCTATGAAAGCCTCGAGAGAGGCAGCGCAATGCACCAAACTCTGCAGGGCGGAATGCAAGGAGCAGCACAGCACCAGGTGCTGCAGCACCCAAAATTGCTTCGAGAAGAGTGATTCGAGGCTCTCGGAGTATAGTGCTGCGCCAGCCCCGAACGTGAGTCTGGTCCTGAAGATACAGCACCGCCAGGCGATGCAAGGGTGCAGGGGCTGCACGGCGATCCATGAAAACACGAGGGCCACACTCTCTCTCTAAAAAATTTCTGCAAGGTGATGCCAAAGAGATTGCAAGCTCAATGCTCTGAAAGTGAACAGCTTACAGCATGTCACATGTCTGCATGTTGTGACCCTCTGATGCACAACGGCAGCGAGGAACATTTAATGTCATCGCTAACAAGTTCAAGCTCACTTCTTTCGGCAAAAGACTCGAGGTGGCTCAACGAAAATTTTCCAAAACACGGGAGTAAAGAAAATTTTCAAATTGACATCGGCTTTAAGACTTTAGCAGACAAGTCTGCCGAAATGCTTCTTCGCCACAACAGATACCTGATCGTGTCTTCCTCTTAGAGGATTGAATATGCTGCCTCTTCGAGGCCCTAATCAAGTTCGAAGTTGAACACGTCTTCAGCTGTCAGAGGCGCCGCATCATTATTCCCTACTGAGCTCAAATGACTCCGAACAGAGAATGAGACTGTAGGCTCATAGCCATAGAGAATGGTATTTCCTTGTTGAGCCAGAGAGCTAGGCAAGTGGCTCGAATGTACAGGGCTTGATGACAGCTAATTTGCCGGAACTCCGCAAATTCTGTTTGCCCTATCGCTTGAGTCTTTGATTGATAGCCGCGATCAAGTCGGCTTTCGTTTTAATTGGAAAAGCTGCCGGATCACACTAGCTGCAAATGGTGGAGCTCTGCCCTCTGGGTCCTACCGGCACCATGTTAGCGTGCCATTTCCTGCCACATCGAAAAGTACTCCCTCCCGGAGCTGCAAGAATGTGCACCTTTCCTTTGGGATTCAGGAAATGTAAGTTGTCAGCCGAGGCCATCGGGCCAGGGCCTTCTGTACTGCTAGATGATTCTGAGCTCGAGTCCGATGACGAGCTTCCTTCCGACTGTGAGGAAGCCTGTCTCGTGATCACTTTGGCGGTCTCTATTGTTTCGGTGTTCTCCACTGGTGGGGGATAGTTGGAGGCCCTCCCGTCTTCCTCCGTTGGGGAATTTGCCCTTTCGGCTGGAGATGATGCTGGGCTGTCCTCATCGTGTGTCTCGAAGGTCAAGCGTCGAGGCATGAATCTCTCCGGACAGAATTCAGACGCTTCCGGCCTCAGGGGAGAGCTATCCGCTGGCCTTCGGAAGAGCCCGCTCCTAGTCTCGTCAGGCGCAAAGGTGCCTGCCCGAATGGAATTGAGTGCCATAGCGAGCTTCCTTAGGGGGCGAGATTGCATGCCTCTTGCGTAGATGTCGCTTGAGGTAATAGAACCCACATGTCTTCCCAGAAAATCTAAGGTCGGCTTGTCAGCTCCATATTTGGCCATCCATGAAAGGGCCGTTTCCTTGCAACTGTGACTCGTGAGTTCCTAAGCTCCTACAAACTCACGAAGGAGGTGCCTGAGCAACGATGTGAACTCATCGCTGTCAATGTGTCTCTCCGAGAATTTCCCTTCCAACAGAGGCGCAGGAAGGAAGGGGCCTGGCTGGAATTTTCCCAGGCTCTTCTCGCGCAAAAGCAGGAACTGTTGCGCCCAGTTCTCGTCGGTCACCCCAAAGGCAGGGGCAACGATAGGCAGCAGCTTCCGCTTCTCTTTGTTCGCTGTTTTGTGAAATTCCGTTCTAACTATGAACCCGTGCCGTCCGGTGACATCCAGAGAGAGTTCCTGGACATACCTGAGGTCCGAGCATCGGCAGCGGCCGTACACGCACATGAGGATTAGGCCTGCCGCCAGCCGATCGAACGTGTCCAGGGATTGATGCCTAAGAATGGCGTGGAGCTGGAGCACCATGTCCACCCTGAGTGCTGGTGCCTGCTTTAAGGCCCGCTTCTTGCTAGCTGCTTGCTTGGCTACTCCCAGGATAAGGTAGCTTTCCACAATAGCCTGGGCACCCTCGGGCTCGACTGTATAGATCATAAAGTTGGTTGACTGTAAGAAGGAAGACGGTGCCGTTGCTGCACCGATGGTTTTGAGGTGAGAAACGTACTCGAAGACTGTCGATTCAGACATAGGCCATGCGCTCTTGTTGTTTGCAGCACACCAGAAGAGGAACCTTTTGATAACCATAGCTCTCGAATGTATTGTCGACGGGGCTTTCACACCCATCACGGCCTCAACACACGTGGAGAGTTCCTCAGCTTTCTCTTCAGAGTTGGAGCTCTCATCAAGGCTGATATGCCTGGTGATTCCAAAGTGGTGCGGATCAGTCCACACTATCTCGCACCAGAGGGCGATGCCCTTGAGGCGAAGGGCTTCTTCACTCTTTGGAAAGCTGACATTTGGGCGGTTCTTGATGGCCGCCAAAGATGTGGCTACTACCGGCACCCTTGGAATGATAAGTTTCTCAATGGCCTCTCCTGGCCCTTGGGATTCCTCGGGCTTCGAAGGCTCGCCGGATGAGAAAGGCACTGCTGGAACCATCTCCGGCTCACCGAAAATTGACTGCATTATGGGAGTCTCCCACGGCATCTGGATTTTTACTCTCTTGGTGGCTCTCATGAGGCATCCCTGTAGTGCATCTCTGTACTCGGAGCCCGACAGGACCTTCGTCGGTTGTGCTGAAGACGCAGGATGGGGGCTTGGGAATGAGTTTCCCAGGCTTTGTCTGCTAGAGGCTGCTGGCGAGCTGAGGTCCTCAGCTGTCTTGGGAATGAGCGACCATGCGTCCTCCGTGGGGGGCAGTTTCTGTCGCGATCCGCCCCTCCGACGGCTGCTCTGTCTCATCACCGAGGCTAAATATGGGCTCGATGGCCGGTCCTGCAGCGGACCAAGAGTCTTCCTCGGCTTCTCCGCCGGTGTCTCCGAAGGCTTCTTCTTCGAGGCTGCGTATAGCCTCTTGCATCTCGTTGAGATGTGAAACTCGTTCCCTTACTCTCCTCTGATGAGCAAAACTAACAGAAAAATCATGAAAAGACTGTGACATGCGAAGCACAGAATGCAGGATGGCAACGAAGAGAAACTGCGCGACTCTGCAAGCGAGAGTCTGCTTTTCTCGTGTTTTTCGCCGACTCGTGCGTCGGGCTGGGCATCTTCGCCCTCTATTCTCTCATACTGGCATACGGGGAACTCCTCCCCTGCGAAAATAGTCGCTGGACGTTACTTCTGAGCACGCAGCACTGAGCTCGTTGCTGAGATCCGGACACCTGGCTCGTGGACGGTGCGACCCTTCCAGGTAGCGAGTCAGCAACTTGCGACTCCGAGCTTCTTAACCGCAACAACTGCATGCCTGAGAGAAACTCTGTGGCATGCATGCACGCAGGAGGGCTCTTTCGCTGCCGCCTGCTGCCCCGCTACCCAAAACTGTGGCGCGCTGGCCGCGAGAAGAATCTCACTTCGGCCAGAGAAAGGCCACTCCACGAATTGTGGCAGCTTCTGACCTCACGCACAATGAGCCATCCGACGCCGATTTTGCGGCGTGATCTCGTCGTACAGCTGATTGTACTTTGTCAATCCCACGGCGCTGCAGAGGAGCACCACGGTTTGCCCCTTCGACTTTCTTGCCGCGCTCTCCAGCGCCTTGGCCGAGGTGTGTTCCGTATACGCTTCGATGCTGCCTCGTCCGAAAGCCCCGAACGAGGGATAGCAGTCGGATTTCGCGGCTTGAGGCCGCAGCAGGGACTCTGAAATCACCCCGTAGGCTCCCGCCCACGTGGTCCCGTGTGCAAACGTGAGGGACTGATGGTGCACGGGATCTGGAAGTTCCAGATCCCAATCGTACTGTAGCTCGAGGTTCAGGTCCAAGATGCTTGCATCGAAGTGTGCGCCTTGAATCTGGCGCCATCTCATCTCAGGGGGGAGGCGCTCCTGAGGAATGGAGCAGAAAAGCTTCGCTACCTGAGCCAGGAGTGGAGCAGGTAACTTAGCTGCGTCGCGGATGCGAGCCTCCATCGCCTCAAGTTGTGGCGCTTCAATCTGAGCACTCGCTTCTTTAAAGCTTGGAGGCCGCTTTGCGACCGGGATCTCACGATAGCTGAGAACCCGCCTGGTTTCCGTCCAGGCTTCGTCTATTGCCGACTTGGCCAACGCCTGCTGCAACCTTTGTTCTTCCTCCCAGGTCTCGTCGTCGGGCTCAGCCTTGTCCCATGTGACTGCGGGGTCCGGGCCCTTGGAGGTCTGATCCTGGTCCTTGGACCAGCGATTCCAGGCAGGCTTCTGCTGGTAGCTCTGGCGGGGCTTCCAGCTGGATCCCCAGGAGCGATTCCCCTGGCTGCGATGTGGCCAGCTCCATCCTCCTCCGTGCGATCCCCCACGCGAGGACTGGGCGGGCACGTAGTCATCCCGCTCCTCTTTCTTCACTTTCTTCTTTTGCTGAATCTCCTTGGAACTCGAGGTAGAGGAGCTGGGGCTGCTTCCCGAGGAGCTTGTGCTCCGCTTGGCTTTCTTTCCTCTGTTCTTCCTCGGTCGGGAAGACTTAGACTTCTTCTGAGTCTTTTTCGATCTCTTGTCTCTCTTGCCTCGCCCCTTCTTCGACTTTTTGCTCTTCTTCTTTGAGAGCTTAGGTGCTGCCGGCATCGGCCCAAAGATCGTCATTGTCATAGGCTCGTCGGAACTCGAAGAGTCCCTCCCGAACCTGTGTGGGAGGTACGGGCTCCCGTACGGAGTCCCGAAAGGATGCATCATGGCGCCGGTGAAACGGGAGGCGGGGTGAAACAGGAGCGGCCGAAGTGAAACAGCTGAAAGCTTGATCCGATCTTGGCGCACAGTTGCTGATACAACAGCTGCACTTGCGACTCCACTGCAGGTCCCTCGTGAGCAGCGGTGTGCTCTGCAACAAGCCTCTTGGTCCTTGATTTTGAGACTCGAATCCTGCCGGAGTCAGGCTAAGCACCGATTGCAGCGAGACTGCAGCCGTCCCCGAGGAGGAAAGCTCCGAGGGCCTTGCGCCCTTAAGCCGCCCGACTATTCCTCAGTGAAATACTGTATCGTGCGACCTGGCTCTCTGAGGGGCGAACTTTCCGACAAAGTCCTCTAGCACATGCACCTTTGTTAGCTCTCACTCCCTGACTTGTGGGCAAACTGCACGTTCGGGCAATGTGAAACATGAATGAAATGGCAAGAACAGCGGAGGCCTGCTCTCACGAGAACCTTGGCGCACGCCTTCGATCGGCTCGGCCGCTCAGCTCGAGCTGTAGAAATCGGCTTTGAAAGCGACGATAAAATATCAAATTCCTGCGCCCTGGGCGACTCTTCGCACTCCGCGAAAGTCTGGTTCTCTGTCATCGCATTCTCTGCTTGACTGCCGGCCGAGCGCTCTTCACGCGCTGGCTTCTTCTTCTTCTTTTTCTTAGATGTCTTGCGCTTCCTCTGCTGAACTGTAACCTCGGGGCTGCTGTCCAGCGATATGGAAAAAGATCAGCTCCGAGTCCTGCGACGGCGGCGCCGAGCAGACGCGCTCTTCTTGACTGATGCAGCAGGGTCTGGCGACGCAAAAGCCGAATGCCATGAACTGGTCTCGTCTGAGAGCATAGACACTGAGGCACAAGCCATCCCTGCTTGCTTGAATGCACAAAGCTGCGCTATCAGGCTGGCTGGCACGGCAGCAGAAAGACGCACATGCCTAAAGAAAACTGACGTGCAAACTCAGGTCAGGACAGTTCACCAAAGCTTGTCGATGACTTCACCGGCCGCGATTCGGTGCGGGCAAGGCTTGTCTCCAGGCAGCGAAGACTTGATGTGTCAAGAGCTGAGTCTCGAGCACCGATATTCGGTCATTGAAGTTCGAGAAGATGAGAGTGTGTCGCCTGTTTATAACCATGATTTGCTCCTGAAGGCCATGCAAATGATGCATAACAAAAGACTCTGTGGAAGTCCACGATCGAGCTGGCGACCGTTTTCCATTTGGGTCTGGAGTTGTATCTCCAGCTATTTCAGGATCACGATTGCGATCACCTGGCAAAACATCACAGGGGACCTGAAAAAGAACGTCTCGCGATCTCCCACTTTGGCGTTCTCACTCTGAGGGGCATGCCCATGGGCCTTTGTATGTTAAAGGCTCCCGCTCCCCTCCTTCCTTTTTCGAGCTCTTCTCGAAATTTTCTGCCCGCTTCAGCTTGAGCAGAGATTTTACAAGAGCACGATTCACAAGTGTTCTGCCTAAACAAACTTCCTCGAGTTTGTTTTCCTAGCTCAAGATAAAACACTAACTCGTTCCTCGCACGTTTGCTTGAGCTCAGCTCGCAAATCAGACACTGCAGTCGGAAGCAGCAGAGCAATGATAAGCAACTCCACTCGCAGTTTGGGCCCGATCACTAGCACGGCATGCTGCTTCTTGCCCTTCATCACTTCAAAGGTCTCCTCCAGGAGGCTCATGAGACGCCGCCTGTAGGTAAACAAAGCAATGAGGCCGCCAGCGAGCACTTCAAGCAACCCTACGCTCACGACTCGAAGATGTAGCACCTTGACGAGAATCTTCAACAAAGGAGCGGCTCGCCTGAGAGACCCACGCTCCAACCCAATTTGCCCATCCAGTTCTACTCCCCAAAACTCCGCCCGCAACGAGTCACGAATTGCTTTAGCTTCATGCGGAATGAGGTGAACTCTGTGATTAGCATCCTGAGCACGATCAGCAAGCAAAGCACCTTGGCTTGGAACAGGTTTCTCTAATAGCTGAGCTTCCTTCACCTTGCTGAGCGAGACAAAGTCGTCGATCACTATGCCACACATGGTGTTGCACCTAGGAATCGGAAGAGACATCGCAAGGAGGCTGTTTTCGTCAACAATGTGCTCTTGCAGACACAGTCCCAAATGGCATGTTTGTGCAAGCTCGACCGCCTGAGTGTCCCCCATCGCGAGGCACCCAAGCGCCACATAGAGCTCGGTTTCGCCAAACATCCAGTCCTGGAAGCAGGAGAGATGCCGAACTTCACTGGGATGCACACTGCCTACTAAGCTGTTTCGTTGGGCACGTTGATTGCTGACTCGAAAGAGGTGATAAAAATCACGGATATCGTTCGTCGATGTGAGCACCACCTCACCTTCTTCAAGGATGAACTTTGTGAAAAGCTCACCGGCACCCAATGTCATGATGTAACGACCAGGAGGGCTCTCCAACATATTATGTGGTCGTGAATCCATGATCAATCTGTCGAACTCCAAATGACTTTATCACCGAGAACATCCCAGCACCAAACTGCGCTCTAACGTCTTGCTTCCGAAATAAGCGAATGCGCCCACTTTTGTCGAGCAAGCTGAAGAGCTGGAGCTTCTGCTCGCGGCTGCAATGTATGCGCACTCGAGGTACCCTGCCTTCGAACTCCGATGGAGAAGTAGAGGTCTCAAACGGGAAATCGTAGATCCTGCGACTAAGGGGGTCCAGGTAGGGCCGGGGATCGAAGTCGGGCCGCCCTCGAAATTGAAGCCGGTTGGCCTCGACCTCCTTGTAAGTGCCTGCATAGGCCCGGCCTAGTTTGCCAATCTCGAGAGAGCTCTCACAAGGCTGGTGCACAACGAACACACACTAGCACATGCTTCGCTGTTCACTCAAGGCACACCCCTT